CTGTCTTCGAGGAATCTCTTTCAGTCTGTTTTTCCATCGAAGTACATCTCCATCTTCTTTTTATTGCTTCAAGTCGTCGTCTAAAGTACTTTCTTCGTGGAGTTGTAAGTCATTGAACCACTTCTTGTCAATACAATACAAATACTTTCTCACTCGAATTAAGACATCATGTGCTATCAACCACGTAAATGCCTCAACAAAAGAGTCTTGATCGCCTTCTGGTATTGGTTCGAGTATTTTGTCCAAAGTCTTTTTCTCAATGAAACTGTTTAAGACTTTAGTGATGTCGCCCCCACACTCTTCTTTAAATCTCATTGCCAAAGTCTTCACTTTTATATGTGAAGATGTCCCGTCCTGTATTTTTTGTGGGCTTTCACAACACTCCTTTGGCAAGAAGTAACCCGGCTGCGTCTCTTTTGAAGGCGATAAGATGTAGACGTCATCCAAAAAGACTGCTTCGATGACTTTAGCCTTCCCCCAATAGACCAAATACCTCACAACATCATATATTTCGAGTAATGGTATTTCCGTGGTCATCGATAAATATTGTAATGAAGTTTGCGGTGTTGAGACTTGAAGGACTTTTTTGACCTTTTCGAAGAACCCTTTGTTTTGGATGTGAGGGAATTGTTCGGGGAGGAGGATTAAGTCGTCGCTATTAGTCAAGCAGGATATCCACTCCTTCGACGTCTTAAATAAAAAGATCGAGTGATAAGGCAACAACTGTTGTGAGAAGACGTCGTCGTAATTTTTCAAAGAAATGGGTGGGAGGTATTTCTTATTCATTTTTGTGTGTGCGACGCCGTTTGTTTTTAAGTCGATGAAGATCTTTTGCATAGCCGAGGCCAAATCGCTCTTTGTGATGATTTCAGTGACCAACTCTTTGTAAGTTAAAGGGACGTCCCGTCTTATATTCTCTTGGCAGAACTTTTGTCGTGTTGAAAAGATCTTTCGGACTTGTGTAGAGACGTAGCCCGAGTTAATCTCTTCGAGGATAAGTGCCTTAGAAATC